AAGGAGCAGCTGGTGAGCTTGAACCACCGACATTGCAGTTCAAATGCTTTGCAGTCTGGTGTATTAACCCACAGCGCCACACCAGGACTCATATATATATATACATATACATACATACACACACATATATATTTATATGTTGTTGTTAAGTGCTATTGAGTCCAGTGTCAACTGATAGGGATTTTATGCACAGCGGAATGAAACAGTGCTCAGTCCTGTGCCATCCTCAATGCTGTTGTTAAATTTGAGCCCACAGTGTGCCACTCCAACTTGCTATGGTCTTCTTCTTTTCGCTGACCCTCCACTTGACCTAGCATGGTGTCCTTCTCCAGGAACTGGTCCTTCCTGATAAAACGTCTAATGTATGAGTGATGAGGTCTCCCATCTTGGCTTCTAAGGAACATTCAGGCTGTATTTCTTCTAAAACAAGCTTGCCTTCTCAGTACATTGGGTTGCTAGGGATGGGCAACTAAGGCATTAGCTATCAAAATGGGGAGGTGGGGGCTATAATGTCATGAAGTGTCTGGTTTATAAGAGCCAATGCACAGAAAGGTAGAGCAGCTGAGGACTCTAGGCTCCTGGACTGAGAATGGTTGGGTGCCTGCAGCCTAGGGGCTAGCTTGCAATGTGTGCCCTTTGGACATTTAAACAAACATGTATTTTCTGTTTGTACATGTTTGTGTACAAAAAAAAAGGAATAGAGGTAAATACTGTTCACTGATGGTACATGGAGGGGATTGTAATCATTGCAATGAAACAAAATATGATTCATTGAATGGAAAACTGATCATCTGTACTATAAACTTTCACTCAATTCACAAAACTTAAAAAATAAAATAAATCTAAAAAATGTTTAAATGAAGGTGAATATGAGTGTCATTTTAGATAGTCACCTGTCATGCCATAAATGATTCATAAAACCAGTCCAAGCAGAAGAGAAAACCTCACAGAAAACAGAAAGGCACGGCTTCATTTGTTAGCTTCATGGATTCCACTAGGATATTCAATGAAAATGCAGTATAGCTTTTGGTAAAATATGTAGTTTTATAAATACCATTTGGGAAGTACCATGCTCTCTAGAGACAGGAATATGTTGCCTTTGCCTTTGTAGAACAGATCCAGTACAAATGTTGGGGCTGAGGGTATGATAGAGACGACCTGCCCCCTGAGAATTTGAACTGCAGAGACACTAATCCCATGTTGCTTCTTTGGCCTCAAGAACAGAATTATCTATAGTCGTATGGAATAGATTCCATGACTTTTGATTACATTAGAAATTGTGGTTTTTAACAAATGTTTATCATGTAATTATAACATTTTACACATAAGAAAAGTGAAGCTTAGAGGGCTTGAGGTCACGTGGTGGTGGTGTGTTCTGTCTAGTTAATTCCAATTCATAGCAACCCTGTGTAGGATTTCCAAGGAACAGCTGGTGGTTTTGAATCGCTGATCTTGCAGTTTGTAGTCTAGTGCTTATTCTATCGCAGGGGCATTGTTGTTATTGTTGTTAAGTGCCATTGAGTGGTCCCAACTCATAGTGACCCTGTATAGGGTTTACAAGGAGTGCCTGGTGAGCTTGAACCACGGATCCTGTGGTTCAAACTGACGTTACAGTTCAGTGCTTTATACCACAACACCACATCAAGGGTATGTCGTTGAACCTGTGAAACATGTGTAACTGGAATCCAATTCCAGTTAAGTGCCATCAAGTTGGTTCCGACTCATAACGATCCTGTATAGGGTTTCCAAGGGAGTACCTGGTGAGCTTGAATCATGAACCTTGCTGTTCAAACCAACTTTGCAGTCCAGTGCATTAACCCACAGATACAAGACCAGAGTTCGCAGCTCATAATTGCTGAGATTTATTACCTACCACCCACATACTTCCTTTTTCCTTTTCTTCTTTCTCTTTCTAGGCTGTGACCCACTTTGCTCTAATGGGACAGGAAGTAGTGGTGTGTGCAGAAGGCAGGATTGGGAACCAAGGTAGAAAAGAAGGTGAACAAGATTGAATATTTAGAAAGGAAAGCAGGGAGAAAGAATGGAGGAAGACAAGGAGGCAATAGCAGCAATCCAAGTTTGAAAGCTGTACAATTGACAGGGAAACTCTATTGTTCCCTTTGAGAATTGGATTCCAGTTCCACATGTTTCACAGGCTCTCTGAGTGAGTCAGCCTCAGGTCCCACTTTTGTATTACTCTCCTATCTAATGACTCCTATCTCCCATAATTCCTCTTTCCTCTGAACCCTTAACATTGCATGGAGTATGCCATTAAACTTTGTACTTAAACTGCATTCTCCAGCAGAACAAAGCCTAAAATCCAGTACAATAAGAACAAATCCTGGTGTAATTCCTGCACTTACAAACCATGCAACATTGGATTTACACGTGACTCAGTGTCCAACTCCTTTCCCAAGAACACTAAAATAAACAACAAAAACAAAACAAAATGAACCTTTCAGAACTGTCTGATGCATCTTGTCATTATAAGTAGTATCGTGATACAGAAGTATTTGCTCTGACAATATGTTTGGTTCATTTTCTGAGTACATCAAGTATTATTAATATTCCTAGTTTATGTTGAGGAAATGAAGGCTCTATAAGGCTAATGGAAAGACTTGCCCCATTTCTTACAGATTGTACTTGAATGTTATACACAAACTGGGGTCTCACTTTGACCCCAGCTACTCAGTAAATAAATCAAATGACATATTGCATTAAGCAATTCTGCTGCACAAGACCTTTTTAAAGTGTTGAAGAGCAAAGATGTCAGCTTGAGGAATAAGGTGTGCCTGACCCAAGCCATAGTATTTTCATTAACCTCATATGCATGTGAAAGCTGGATAGTGAATAAGGAAGACCATAGAAGAATTGATGCTTTTAAGTTATGGTGTTGGAGGAGAATATTGAAAGTACCATGGGCTGCCAAAAGAACAAACACATCTGTGTTGGAAGCAGTGCAGCCAGAGTGCTCCTTGGAGGCCAGGATGGCCAAACTTTGTCTCTCATACTTCAGACATATTATCAGGAGGGACCACTCAGTGGAGAAGGCTATCATGTTTGGTAAGGTGGAGGGTTAGAGAAAAAGAGGAAGACCCCCAACGAGATGGATTGGCCAAGTGGCAGCATCAGTGGGCTCAAGCGTGGGAACAATTATGAGGTTGGCCCAGGACAGTTGGCCCAACTGTTTCATTCTGTTGTGCATAGGGTCGCTATGAGTCAGTACCAACTCGATGGCACCTAACAACAACAACAACTCCAAAGACTAAATTTACTTCTATTTTACACTCACAGAAATGAGTTCAAGGAAGCAAGTTTTCTTTTTGGAGCATATTCGCACATGATAGGATTTCTCAAGAAGTTAGCATAGCTTTTTGAAAGCCACATTTTGGCCATTTGAATCCCAAGAATTGATTATTGTGTTTCTTTCATCTTGACTGGGTTGAGTTTGAGCTTCCCATTTTTTTTGAAGAAAGAACTTCCTAAAGAAAATAAGTGTAAATCAAGTAGAAAGTGCTAACAAATTGCTTAAGTATCTCTTTACTTTTGGTAGGAATACATGTTCATATGAAGGAATTTTATTAATGTATTAATGCTGCAATTAGTATTAATTGCAGCTGGTGGTATAGTATTTTAACAAGGAAATTTTTGTTGAGTGTTGTATGATTTTTCTCAAATAAGTATAATCAGGGAATTTTTAAAGTATTGCCTAAGTAAAAATTAGTATCCTAGAACTCTCCTATTAAAAGACAAAAAAGGTTGCCCCAAATAGTTATCTCAAGGTTGACAGTCCTGAGAGGAAGGGGCCAATTATGCATGAGATCTGCAACAGACTAGCTATTTCTCTATGCTCCTTTTTGAATCCTGACCATCGTGAACTCGGTACTTCTTTTAAAATGCTTAAGATCCTGAAAGGTCATTGTGAGCCACAAAGTCAGTAGTTCAAGCTCACCAGCCGCTCCTCAGAAACCCTATACAGGGTCACAGTGAGTCAGAACCAACTCGACAGCACTTAACAGCAACAACAAATGATCCAATTTGGAGTCTTAATGTGGCAATTTCAAATCAGACCTAGACTATTAACCACAAAGTTGTTGGTTCAAACCCACCAGCCCCCCTCCTTGGAAACCATATACAGAGTCACTATGAGTCAGAATCAGCCCTATGGTACTTAACACCAGCAACAGCAACAAGATCCAATTTGTCATTAATTCACAGTAGTCTCTCCCCAATACTTTTCACTGTATTTGGTATTTTATGTTTAGTTACATCTTAAACTCAGGATGGATATTGTCTTTGCCATCTTACTCAATGTCAGTGTATTAAGGATGAAGTGTTCATTCATGGTTAATTTTGGAGAGAGTATGAGAGGGATACCATTCTGTTTAATGATATATTTTTGGCTATTGAAATTATAACGTTTTCATTTAAGTCAGTCTATAATTGTGATTTTAAAATATTACTTTGCTTTCCTAGGCTTTAGCAAAGCAAGCCAAGATTGATTTTGAGGAGCAAGCCCTCAGAGAGAAGGCAGTCCATGAACAAATTGCTATGGAAAGAGCTCAAGCTCGGTACCAAAAGCATTATTCATTATGTGAAGAAATTCTGGATCATATTCTTGATTTGTCCACTAAAGTGGCAGACTATCGGATGTTAACAAACAAGTAAGTAGGAACATGATCAAAAACCAAAACAAATCTAGACTGGCACCATCGAGTCAATGCCAACTCACAGTGACCCTATAGGACTGGATGTTGTTGTTGTTGTCAGGTGCCATCGAGTCAGAACCGACTCATAGCGACCCCATGCACAACAGAACGAAACAATGTCCCATCCTGGGCCAACCTCACTACCGCTGCCACACTTGAGTACATCAATGATGCCACCTGGCTGAT